GCAACTTTACAGATCTTCTTTATGCACCAAGAGCTTGTAACACTCCAAAGAGAAAGGAAAAATTTTAATCACATCATATGACCCCTTTAAATATAAAATACAACCGAAAAAATGAAAAAAAAGCAAATATGAAAATATATTTTAATATGCATATTTAATTAAATCATTTTATAAAATTAAATATATATATATATATATATATTTGGCCCTATGATGCATCTCATGCAGCTAACAATGTAATTAACATCTTCCGTTTTTTTCTGTCATACAGGAACCGAAGTCCTCCATAATATGAAAAATTTTGGTGTTTTCCAGTTTTGTCCATCTAATATGAATGAGCTTACAGACCAGACAGAAAAATGGGACCTTTTAATTAAAAGCTCTTTTGTAAAACTGTCAAATTGAGCGTTGCGATCTCTCTCATCACATTTTTCTTGGAGAGAGCAGTCTCCTCCTCCTCATGCTGTTTCTGTTGGAACTAATGTTAGCTTCACGACGGCTTCCAGTTATTTGGATTTTCAATACTCTTGAGTAACATAAACCCACACAAACCATTTGTGCATCGCTGAAGCCCTGAGCCAGTTTGGGCTGTAAAATCTTCTCCAGCGTTCCCTCGGCGAGCTGATGGCTGCTGTTGCTGCCCCACACGTACACCATGACAGCATCATTCTCCGAGCCGGAGGAAGACCTCGTGCTGCATGAGCACAGGCAGTTAGAGGCCAGGGTGCAGATCTACAACACACACACACACACACACGCGGATTAAAGATTTGCTTATCAAAATAAGAGTCATAGAAGACAAAGCCTGACAAATTTTTAATAACACTGTATATTAGAGAACACTTGTAGGTTTATTTGCACAAACACACCTCTTCAAAGAGGCAAAGAGCAACATGTGAGAGGCTACAGAGTCCATCTGCATCCCTCTTCAGCACCTGAGAATTGACGGATTCACCACGAACAGCCTGGAACAACAACAAATTAAACCCAATAATACTAGCAGCTGCAATATCTATGGCTAACTGAAGTATGGTAGAACCAATAAAATTAGTGGCATACTTACTGTATGCCACTGAGACATCTATGTGATCAAGTTATTCATTGTGCCTAACCATGGTCAAAAAAAAAAAAGTCGGAATATAATGAAAATAGACAGATCCTCTTTCCCAAGTTATGACGTACAACTGAGTAAAACAGATTATTAAAAAAGAAAAAAAATGTAGGGTGGGGGCTTGTTTCTATCAATTGGTGGTTGAATGAATGATTAAAGGAACAGTTCACCCAAAAATGAAAATTGTCATCATTTAATTAAAATTTGTCACCCTCATGTCGTTCCAAACCTGAATATGTTTCTTTCTTATGTTGAACACAAAAAGAAGATTGAAGAATTTTGAAGAACGAAACAGCTGTTGGTCCCCATTGACTTCCATAGTAGGGAAATAAATACTATAGAAGTCAATGGGAACCATCAACTGTTTGATTACCAGCATTCTTCAAAATATTTTCTATTATGTTCAACATAAAAAAGAAACTCATACAATTTTGGAACGACATGAGGCTGAGTAAATGATGACAATTTTCATTTTTGGGTGAACTATTCCTTTAAGAATTACGAGGTCAGAACAAATTGGAAAATAAATTAAACATATGCACAAATAATCCATTCACAATCAGATCAATAGCATGCATTAAGAAATGGATAGGGTAAATATAATGCTTAGAATAGGACGCAATATGTTCCAAATGATGGACTCTTTCCAAGACATCTTGGTAATGGCTGGTTAATAGAATTCTAAAATAAAAGCATGCATTTAAGTTTTTTAATTCGTTAACACCACCCATTCAGATGGTCGATTAAATTATATGAGCACAAAGTGAAACGGCAACCCAAGTCACTTCCATAATTGATTAAAACTAAATATTCCTAGAGAAAATAAAATGTAGAGTAGGATTTGTGAGGTGAAAGTGACCTGAATGCCAAAGTTGGCTAAAACGCAACATCTAAATCACTATTTGTATATTGGTTAGCATTATCCAGTGGCCCAGGTGACGTTAGTATGAAAGGAAATTAATTTATTATGTTTTGATTAAAGATTGAGAATATAGTCTCTGGCTTCATCTCACCAAAGTACTTAACCAGTTAGCGTTTCAGAGAACGAATTAACTTTGAACTCCGGAGTAGGAAAATCTTTAAACAAACAGTTCCTTTAGTACAGCGAACAAGTGCTGCTGAACTTCAAGCACTAAAGCCTTGAAGTAGACATATTTCCCATTGATTAAGACATGAATAAATTAGAGCACGGCACATGGCAGGTCTGGTGTGGCTCAGGCGGCTTTCAGAGCTGGGAAGACGGCCAAGGGCTCCTGGTCAATTGAAAACCACAATCTTATTTAGAGCAAGGAGAAATGTTCAAATCATTCCTGCCCTCCATGAGAGGAATACAGAATAATGGTAAACTACTGTATGGCGGTAAGGTATTAGCAGTAGCAATTAGCAACAACGATTTGCTTTAAGTGCCGAGGGAGGGATGAACAAATGGAGGAAAGTGTTAGCCTAGCCACAGCGCCGTAACTCTATACCCTCTCTGCGTTTGAAAGAGGCACAACTTTCTATATTACAGCCCATTATTATTACTGTATATTACTTCACTCATGCTATTAGCATGACCGCTAGGTCAGCCGCATGGTGCAAGAACACACCGTGTGCTGGCGCATCTGTTGCAGGGTTTGATGGATCAGCTCATAACCCACTCCAACTGTTTCAGACATGGTGGAGGAAGCGGAGGCAGCCAGCGCCACCTCCACCCACTCCAGAAGGAAGCGCAAGGATCCTCTTTGTAAGGCTAACGAGAGGAGGAGCTCCAGGGATAGCCTGCGACCCGCCCGATCCGCCCCGGACCCGCTGACCGCAGTCTTCTTTAGGAAGTCTCCAACTTGTGTAAGACAGTCAAGCCCCACTGTCGGGATCTTGTTCTCGTTGGCCAAGGAAAGAGGAGGCAGGGCGGCCAGGACTGAAGACGCTGTTGCCAGTACCTCGTTGCACAGAGCAACGTCCGGTGGGTTCTCAAGACTCCCACGCTGCCAACTCTGCCTCAGTAGGGCAAAAAGGAGACTCAACCCAGTCCGGACTCCCATTTCAACAAGAACGTCTGTGCCCGACTTTGAACGGGAACTGCCTGTTGGCCAAGGCTCAGACACTGACTCTAGAGTGCCCCCTTCTGCACTGGAGGATGAGGGCTGGGGAGGCAGCGGTGCTCGGAATCGGTCGTGATACTTGCTATGGAGGGAGTAGAACACCCTCTGGAGGATCATCAGTCTGTGGTGCAGGGATAGGGCAAAGGGGGTCCTCGCCAGCATGCGTTGGACAAGGCATCGCTGACTGTGGAGCAGTGCAGACAGATATTCCTCCTTCTCCTCCTCAGCGCTGGATTCGTACTGGAAGTCAGGCAAGCGTGGACCCATTAGGTCCTGCACTGGTTGGGCCAAGCCCACAACCTCCTTGTTGTAGACCAGTTTTGCATAGAGAGCTGCCGCTCCGTGCCGTGTGGCGGTCTGAATGCTGTCCTCCGCCGCCCAGGAGCTGTTCAGGTGCTCCTGCCACTTGAGCATCACGTGGGTCTGAGAAGGCACCATCACTGTACATTATTCACATACAAGAGGCACATAGCTGGAAGAGAGAAAAAAGAAAAAGAAAATTTAAAATACAGTTCAAGACCTAGCAAAGACATTGGCGTCAATAGCCTTGTGGGCAGTGCACCAACATACAGTGCCGTTGTGCTACTGGCGTCCCGAGTTCGAATCCCGACTCGAGGACCTTTCCCCATTCCACCCCCATATCGCTCTCCCACTTTGCTTCCTGTCAGTTCTGATCTGTCATTTCATAATAAAGGCGAAAATGCCAAAAATAAATCTTAAAAAAAAGACCTTGCAAAGACTTTCAATGCAAGTCCGAAGGTTTCCGGTACAAACCCCACATGGAATGAGACCCTGCCATTGTACCCGAGCAAAAAAACTTAAGGTGTGGTCACATTTACCATTGCTTTGCGAAATGTCATGGGATAATTCCAGTAATTTCAATAGGAATCTGTGTGATTGGGAGTTTTGATTGAGGGTAAAAAAATGTTGCTCGAATTCAAGTCGCTCACTCGAATTCACCATATTGACCAACAGGAACCTGCCGGGTTTGAAAGTGACTTATGTGTGAGGTGCTTTATGCATCACTATGCTACTGACAATAGACTTTTCTGTCTATAGAAAATAGAACATCTTTTAGCATTTTGCTACTTGGGGAATTACATATTCTAAGTTCATGGAGCTCTTCTAAGCCGAAAGACTGTGAAAGTTGTTGATTTAAAGGTATAGTTCACCCAAAAATGAAAATTCTGTTATTAATTACTCTCATTTGTTCCAAACCCGTAAGACCTTCGTTCATCTTCAGAACACAAATTAAGATATTTTTGATGAAATCCAAGAACTTTCCGAACCTCCATAGACAGCAAGGGAACTACCACGTTCAAGACCTAGAAAGGTAGTAAGGACATCATTAAAATAGTCCATGTGACATCTTGTGCGTTCACGAGAGTTCCACGACGCATGCGTGTGGTGCTGCTGACGCAGGAGCCGGCGTTCTGACGTACAACCCGGATGGACTGCGCTTTGTTTACACACAGAGGAATGCACACACATGCGTTGTGGTACTCTTGTGAACGTGCAACAATTAAAGGGTTAGTTCACCCAAAAATGACTCACCCTCAAGTCATCCTAGGTGTATATGACTTTCTTCTTTCAGACGAATCCAGTCGGAGTTATATTAAACATGGATGACGTATGAGGTCAGCTTTGTGCATTCGCCGCTCAAAAGTGACACATGCGGAAGCGCAGCGGAGAGATCAAAACAAAACAACGGTCACTTATTATAAGTACAAAATGAGGATTTGTAAAGAAGAATGTCGGAGGATTTCGATATAAGCCAAGAGGAGACTGGTTTTCCTTTGCTAAAGTAAGGAAAGTTTGCTTCCTTTGCTCCTG